GCTATTATTATAACTCCTATAACCCCTTGTGGCAACAGTTACTGTAAGGGGGAATGCCCCAACTCATGCCTTGGTTTAGGGTTCAGGGTTTAGGTTTTCGGCTGCTAAAGGACGAAGCTCAGGCATGGTTTTGTGGTGCCTGTGCGTTGGAGTCCTTGCTGGAAGTGCCATCTGAGGATATGTCAGAAGGGCGAGAGTAGGGAAAGATCCCTCCGTCAGTTTCCAATTGAGCTATTGTTGCGTATTTTTCAAAGAGTGAGATATAAAGGGTCAACACAAGGTTCTCTGTGTGCTGTAGTATGCTCAATTATAGATATCTGAATCCTGCAACTTGCTTGCTTCAATGCGGGAACCTTCTTTGGCGCTTCCCCAGACCCCTGGGAGGATCTAAAAATTAGATCCCCTATATAGACCCATTATGACCCCTACAGAATCCTTATATAATTTCCTATATGGTTCTAAGGGATCTAATTTTTAGATCCCTTTGGGGGTCTGGGTCCAGGTACAGCAATGCCATCTACTTGGCTGGCATCGCATACTTCATCCCCAGCTCTGCAAACAACATAGGCGCGAAATGGGGGTTTCCCAAAATTAGGGTGTACCTTTTTGCTCCCTTTTTGGGGATCCCCATAGAAAGGACTATAGTATTTTGGGGTCTATATTGGGGTCCCCTTATTTAGGGAAACTACCAAATTATGTCGTTGGGTACAAGCTTTTGGGTTATGGTTGCCGAATCTGTTGGAGGCTCTTGGGTAACAACCGCTCCAGGTGGGTAACCAATATGCAGGCCGGTCCAGATAATGCTTGTACAAGGCTAGTGAGACTGAGGTCTGTGCATGCCTTCTTTCAGGATACCCGCCTGACAACTGACCACCTGAAACTCTCCTTCAGTGAGAGCTCCCTCGGTCGGCAAGAACTGCTTTGCACTGCGCTAGAAGCGACATTCGAGTCCCTACGTTACAGTAGCCGAAGGAGGTGTCCGAGTGGAGGGCAATCGCGGGCCCTCAAGTTTCTGAGTAATTTCACCTCCCTCCCCATTCCTTGCCCTCATGTCTCGAAACTGCCCAATGACCCCGGCAAGGGATCTTCCTCCCGGCAACGGAGCATTTCCATACTGTCCCTCATCTGCAGCTTATGGGCCGCCGTGTAGGTCGAGACGTTTAGGGTTGAGGGATTAGGGTTTACCCAGACCCCCAAAGGGATCTAAAAATTAGATCCCCTAGAACCATATGGGAAATTATATAAGGATTGTGTAGGGGTTATAATGGGTCTATATAGGGGATCTAATTTTTAGATCCTCCCAGGGGTCTGGGTAGGGTTTAGGGTACTCGAGACTTAGAGTTTGGGGTCAGTTAGTTAGTTAGGCAGGTCAGGGGCACACGATGGAGCACAGGAGTAACTTTGAGAGCACTTTCCATCTTCTTCCCGTTTTACAGCAGAGGAGAAACGGGGCACTGATGTAGCAACTTCCGTTTTATGGCTGTGTTCTGCAATGTTGGAAAGGAAAATAGAAATACAACGCTGCATCGCTGCTTCCACTTCTTTTTTGACTAGATTTGGAAATGAAGCGTGTAGCTATTCTGCCAGAGACATTCTTCATCTTCCGTTTTACTGATTTGCCGACCTACGTCAGTGAGGTCAAGGACAGATTCTGGGAATTGGGATACACGCATTTATAGGGGTAATGGAAAATACAACTGAAACTACTATAGTATACGGGGTAGTATTGGGATAATGGAAAATAACATGGAAACTACCATAGGAAATTATGGTATAATTATCAGAATATGTGTTGGGGGTATTTACATAAGCCCCAAGCCCTGAAGCCGATATCCTAGACCGTTTGGATTTGATTCCACTTCACCAATACGAGTTCATGCTTCTTTTTGGATGCCCACGGGGCAGAGTAGTGCGATAGTAATGTAAAAGCTTAAGTAACCTGAACAAATTAGTGGAGAAGCAGACATGAAGATAAGAATGGATGCTGGACCTAGACAAGGGTCTGTAGAGAATATGTAATGATCTAGCATAACACACGGTAGCATCCACTGGAATCTAGTCTCTTCCGATATCCATTTTATAGGCCGGAAGCACCTTCAGGAGCATTTCTAAGTACCCCAGTGTGGTGCTGTTGCATTAGGTAATGCCTGGTACAGGTGCGTTGAGTTATGCTGTGAGGTTTCGGGTTGTGGCGCGCGCGCTGGCTCAAGTGCCAAGCCAGCATAGCCCTTCTAAGATGGTGCATAGCCAGCACAGCACTGACGAGTTTGAAATGGTTTCGGATGCCGACGGCCGCGGCAAAAGACAAATGCTCCACAAAGCTTTGCGGGATTGCCGCAATGCTTGTCGTAGACATGCCATGATGATGAATGTCGCTTCGCAGCGCTCCTCACATGTGGATTATCATGGTTCCTCACTCGCTACACAGGTTAAGAGCCTTGGCTCTCCGATTGAGCTGGGGTCGCGGGCAACGGGTCTTCCAGGTCTTTATCTGGTGAATTTCAACATGAGTATGCAATGTGAGGCTACCCCGGACGAATTGCCAGTCAATAGTTCGGAGTCTGCGACGTCGAGCGACATGGAGTCACAAACAAAGGTGCTTGGCTGTTCTGCAGAGCTTCGGTGCATTGAGTTGAGCTTTCAATCCCGCATGCTGAGCATCAACGCAGAAGTGGGCAAGCTGAGGCAGTTGGCTGGATGGACTGAGAAGGCGGGGACCGCTTTTCAGGGTGACGTCTCTGTTCCTGCGCTAGATCAACTTGAGCATCTGCTGGACAGGTGGATTTGTGATCTCAACGCCCACGCGGCAGAGCTCGAGGGTGTCTTGTCAAGCCTGGGGCACTGCACGCAGGTGACTGAGTTCTACATAGGTTCTGACGATGATGGCTCTGACACGGGGGGTGATCAAACGGCAGAACTGTTGGTTGAAGCAGAACCATCCGATCTGCACTTGTTCGAGTACGGTGACCTAGTTTGCTTGGAACACGACGTTGAAGTGCCTGACGGTCGTAGCTTTCACAAAGGATGCCAGGGCAGAGTTTGCGCCGTCTACCACTATGATGAGATGCCACCGGTTGAGGTTCAGTTCTTTGGCCAGCGCAAAGCTTATGCCATGTCCGATTCTGACCTACGAGTTCTTCAGAAGGCTACAAAACCTCCTGGCGTGCAGGTCGTGCGAGGCAACAGCACCTGAGCAGTCATTGCTCGACATAGTTCCTCGCAAGGCGGGGGGTGTGGTGCTGTTGCATTAGGTAATGCCTGGTACAGGTGCGCTGAGTTATGCTGTGAGGTTTCGGGTTGTGGCGCGCTGGCTCAAGTGCCAAGCCAGCATAGCCCTTCTTAGATGGTGCATAGCCAGCACAGCACTGACGAGTTTGAAATGGTTTCGGATGCCGACGGCCGCGGCAAAAGACAAATGCTCCACAAAGCTTTGCGGGATTGCCGCAATGCTTGTCGTAGACATGCCATGATGATGAATGTCGCTTCGCAGCGCTCCTCACGCGTGGATTATCATGGTTCCTCACTCGCTACACACCCAGTAGTACCCTTTTACTTTGGGGAAGAGTAGGAAACACTGCACCCTTCTTATGCAGGGTTTACTGGGGAACCTGGACCTTCAGGAAACCCTAAGCTCTGAACCAAAACTTTAACACCTTAAACCATTTTTTCAATTTTGCAAGGCTTAGAATCCGTTTGGGGACGAAAGGCCATCACGTTGACCTTGACATCGGCCGGGTTCAAGGTCCAGGGCCCCTATATGTACGAGGATAAGCAGGATAGCTATGAATATGTTGTAGGAAGACAATTCGACCCTTGTTTCCCGTGAAGACGTGAAACCCCGAAAACATGTCTAGAACAGCTTTTTGAACACGTCCGTCGGGAAAAAGTCCTTGTAGCAAAGTCAACAAAAGTTGGTACGGAGTCAGCACAGTCATGGAATGCGTCGAAAAGCCTTAGGACAAATCTTGAAAAAGTTTTGCGACAAGTCTTGAAGACGTCGTTGGGCGGGGGACGGCGCAGCCAAGGCTGTTTCTAGACCTTTTTTCGCGATTGCTTTTTCACGGACATTTTCCATTTTTTCGGGACCAAGACAGTTTTTGCTCAATCCAAGATATGTTCGGTTCCTGGGATTGGCAGGGATGCAAATAAATCAGTTTATAGGATCACTAATAGAGTTTATTTTAGATTCCCGGCAGCATAAAGCTATACTTTATTTGGTGGTTTGCCTGTTATTTTAACCAGCACTTATGACTACACCTGGGCGTGCACCCCTAAACCCTATAGTCCCCCTTAAGTAGATAGAATATGGCTTTGGGTATATTCTAAGAAGATCCCATGTACCCCATATTCTATCTACTTAAGGGGGACTATGGCCTCCAATGCCTTAAATCCTGACCAAGATCCCGCTGCCGAACCCAAGCTCCACGCCCTGGAAGTACCGTGGTGGAGCCGGGCGCCCAGAAACCAACGGGTTTGGGGGGTTGATCAAAGTTACGGACTAACAGATGTATAAGGGAATTAGGTGGGACCTTTAATGAATAGACTAGAATTTCAGTCGTGGAGTCATCTGAAGGTCCTTTCGGGAAGTTATTTAGGGTTCGTGTGGGTCTCTAAGGAAAATGTTCGGGAATCTCGGCTCCATACACGCAACTTTGGGAACCGGAATTTTGATCAGCTACCATTTGAGGCGTAGCTTTAGGATCTAGTCTCCACGCACTACAATTGAAGGTGCAGGTGTGTAGGGTTTAAGGTTATGAGTTATGCGGGGTAGAGGTTGCTCGCTGCTGCATTCATAGGTTCTTGGCAGAAGCTCAGCTGAGGTGCAGGTTTACACGTTCCAAACCACCTAACACCCAACAGCGGCTGATAACGACTGCTTTCTGGGTGGCATTCTGGTTCTGCGGTAATCGTAGCATGACCTTTGCTTCGATAACCTGGGTAGGCCCCTGGGATATGTAATATTTTCCTTAATGGCTTTAATGAGGGACCCTATATACTAACATTTTTCAATTGGTTTTAGGGGCCAACCTAGTAGCTGCCCTCTTAAAACAGCAGGAGGAAGAGCTGAGGAGTATAGCTTGGGGTTGTTGAGCTGACAGCTGACGGCCCAAAGTCCCACCCAAAGAGCCAAGGCCAAGGCTATCCTTCAAGGAGGCTAACACAGACCTCACATAGCCCCATTTCCCTGGAGGCCTTTACAGACCTCAAATAGCCCCATTTCCCTTATACGAGCCTCATGTGGGGGGTACAGCCCCCGTTCAGTAGATAGAATATGGAATTGCCCAATATCATAGTAAGATCTTTACATACACCCATGTGCTATCTATTGAAGGGGAATTATACCCACCTCTTACTTCTCCACCTGTGGGTGTCCTTGACCCCAAACCCAACCTAAACCCTATAGTCCCCCTTAAGTAGATAGAATATGGGGTATATGGGGATCTTGTTATAGTGTACCCAAAGCCATATTCTATCTACCTAAGGGGGACTATAAACCCCAAATCCTAAACCCTATAACCCTAAATAGTAGCTTCCATGTTCTTTTCCATTATCCCAATATACTCCCTATAACCCCTATATCCACCCAAGGGGGACTATAAACCCAAAACCCTAAATCCTAAACCCGATAACCCTAAATAGTAGCATCCATTTTCTTTTCCATTATCCCAAGATACTCCCTATAACTCCTATATCTACCTAAGGGGGACTATAAACCTATAACCCCTATAGAATCCCAGCTTCCATTTCATCTTCCATTTTCTTTTCCATTTGATTCTCCATTATAGGGCCCTAAGCCCTATATTATTGGGTACCATAGTATCCCCAAATAAACCCTAAACCCCTAAACCCTTATTGGGTACCATAGCATCCCCAAATAAACCCTAAACCCCTAAACCCTAAACCCTTATTGGGTACCATAGCATCCCCAAATAAACCCTAAACCCTGAACCCTGAGGAGCTCAGAGTTCAGGTGCTGTGTCTTGCCTGCGCTGAGGTTGCGGTGGGGAAAACCTGCTACTTTGCCTCTCGCATGACACGTTGGTCCCGGGACTTTAGAGATAGGTGGGTTCCGGGTGTAGGGCTCATGGTGTGGGAGGGGGGCTTTGGTTTTGAGTTGACGTGTATGTGGCTTTGAGATGGGCGCTTGTCCATCAGAATGAGTTAGCCTGCAGTCCAAATCCCCGAGCTTTGAGCCAGAGAAGAAGCAAAGCCAAGGCACTTGAGAGAAACTCATCTTGTGGGAGACATGCTTATCATGGCTGTTCTTTTTATCTTCTCGTCAATGTTTCGTCTGCCACAAATGCATGTCATGAAGCCTTTGGCAAGAACGGCAAAAAATCGGGGCCCAAGCCCCCACCAGGTCTAGAAGAGACAACCTCCCAAACATAATCAGGATCCCAGTTTGGGGGAGTTTAGATGTTTAGGGCTCTAGACCCTACACCTCAACCCCAAGCCCCAGACCTCAAGTGATCCCCCTCGTACTCCCCCCCATCCCAAATATGCTCCCCACTAGGTAAGGTACCTTCCGGGGATTTTTTTTTCTGGGGAGGGAGTCCTCAATATAGATAATATCAATATGGAGGGATCAGATCGGGTCCTCCGTCTCTTGTCTTTGCTGTCCAGCCCCAAGCGATCTTTGCCATCATCATTGTCAGTAGTGTTACTCTTACTAGTCTTCCTGTTACTATTATTACCTTTAGTACTACTATTCTTAATTATTATTGTTACTAGTATCACTATTATTACTGCTGCGACGATTACTATGATTATTATTACTACTACTAGTAAGGAAGTCCCATGCATCTCCAAATAGAAAACCCCGTTTCTCGGCTCGGAAAGCAGAGCCCGAAACCTGGAGACTTAAGGCAGGACATGCAACTGCAGTCAGCTGTAGTCTAAAGTCCTTAAAGGGGGCTATATAGGGGGTTACATAGGGTTTACGGTTTAGGGGCTAAACTCCTTAAAGGGGTTATATAGGGGACTATATAGAGCTCGTTCAGAGGGATGCTAGGAGTCTAGATTATAAAGCTCACAGTAGCAACTCAAGCAATGCGTAGGTATACGGGTCATTGTTATTTGTATTTGAGATGTCCATGTACTTTCAAGTATATCTCATGGTCGAAGGCAGGCGTGTTCGCGTACAACATGCTGTGTTCACATGCCAATGCTGGATGAGCACAGGCCCCGTACAACGCGGACGACATAGGCATTTTTGAAATTGAGACCCTGGGATTTCGTTCCGTGGACATCGCGAGCGCAATCTCCACCCATACGAAGCCGGGTTAAGTATGGCATCCTGTTGATTTTTGGGTGTAAAAGTGTAACAACTCACAAAACGGTGCCAGTACAATGGGGGGAGCATTCATTACAAGGGAAGTGGTGGGGGGCCTCATTATTAGGGGACGGGATTACAGAAGAAGGTGACCTAACCCGAATGCCTTGAGGGGATTTCAAGCAAACTAAAACCCTGAAAACTGAAATCCTAAACCTTAAACCCTA